ACAATAATAAATCTTGACGAATCCGTTTCTTTTTGTTTATATAGGTAAATTTTGTCTTGACGCAATTCACAGCCCTCATGTTAGCCACATTATTAAGATCATCTCTGAGCCCCATCGCTACTACTCCAGCTGCCAGACATGTTTATGGTCTTACTATTGGCCTTGCTCTTGGATATTTTTGCTTTGGCAGGTAAGCTTACATTCTATCAATTCATGCAAAAGTAATGTAAATGGGAATTTTTGCTTGTTGCAAAATGGTTGTAACTCGAAATATTAATTACATGGCATTTGAAGAAGTTCCAATTTATGATTTTGTTTTTTTTCATCTCTTGCTCCTATTCATTGCTTGCCTAAGTAATATTTAGTTTAGTATTAGACAAACAATATAGATTAGAGTTAGAGTAGTTACGTTCTAATATTCTTTGGGATTTTATGATATCCTCATCTTGTGTCAATTCGATATCGTGTGACAAGGAGTTACCGCAATGTATCGGTAAGCATTTGACACATAATTCCGTTTTAAGTTATTTCCAAGATTAACTCTTTCAGTTGCAACTGTTTTGTCGAGCGTGCTGTCGAGTATCAGTATATACCTGTTTTGACAAGAATTCTTACTAATGTTCATTTTATTTGCAGGCAGGCGATCCATCTCGCTATTCTTCCCGCATTGTGTTATGTAGCGATGCGCACACAAAATCCCCGCAATATGCAGAGGTGAGTTGAATATAAATATGTATCTCGGTATGCGTCACAGGAATACTATATTAATATTCTAGCGTGAGCGTCACGGCTTAATATAATGGCGGTAATTCGCGCTTCTTAAATTATTATAAACAGTCGGATAGTCAGCTTTGCGCGCTTCATCGAACTAATGTAGTCTTAGGCATAATTAACCCTACGACAATAATCATTGTGTAATGTCATATGCCTTCTCCTTCCCCCGAGACTAATAAGGAAAGATTGCGCATGTCATCGATAACAATGATACGTCTATTCGCAGCGTAAAAGTGCACGTAACGCGACCGTTTTTGCATTTACGACGCAATGAATCGCGTGCCTATTGTCGAATTAACCACGTTTGATCTTGCGAGCAAAATCACGCGAGCAAAGACGATGGCCGCACGAACTTGACATGTGCATCTTGAATGTGTTTCAGGGTCGTCCTCGCAATTGCGTTAATCTATTTATCGTGCATTCACTTTCACCGGCAGATCTACGATTACGGCTCGTACACGCTCGACATCACTGGTACGTTCAACTCATGTTTTCACCCGGCTTGTTTGAAGAAGTTTGCTAGCTCTTTTACGTTTTGATTTACGTTGCATAAAAGCATTTTTTATTTTAATTTATATATTTAATTAAAATAAAATTATTAAGGATATTAAGGAGTTAATAGTTTTAGAAGACAGATTTTTTTCTGAACAATTTTTCATAATTTATATCGTATGTTCTTGTTCATATCCAGAAATTTCTTTAAATGCAATGCGACTGCAGCAGCATTTTATGCTCTATTAAGCATGCCTGTGTTAATGAAATAGTAGTGAATATCTTCGCGATATTGTCACTTCTTACCGCCTGCGATTATGTAAGTTTCACGCTTCGAATGTGACGTATCTATTTAAATTTATTCCTTAAGTAAAGAAACGTGATTTTCGATATCCGTTTTGTGCACTTAAATCCTTCCTATCCATTACAGCCCTTATAAGTCCGCTTCCTCTGTTACTTTCGAACGGTGTTTTATAAATTGAGTCACATTCAGCATGATATATTGATTATTGAGCAGTATTGATATCGAGCGTTTATTGTGCCTCGCTATTATGCACACGCCAATGCGTCCCGTTCGCAAGTGTTTCGGCGATAAGTCTCATCATTATTCCCATGCGCCGCTTTTGTAACGTACATGGATGTCCTTTTCAGGTCCTCTCATGGTTATAACGCAGAAAGTAACTAGTCTTGCGTTCAGCATTCACGATGGGCTAACGCGACGCGAAGAGGAGCTGACACCGATGCAACGTCACCAGGCTGTACAGTGAGTGCACGTGCTCTTTTAACAACCTCCTCCCCCCCCTCCCCTTCTGTGTGCGCGTTGTTATTTATATCGAGCACAAGAAATATCGTGAACGTAAAAGAACAGTTCTGATAATTGTTTTATGACGTTAAAGCCACATTACAGTATACTGCGTTTATTCGAACGTGTCGAAGGATAAGACAGGCTCTAATAATCGAATGATTCGGGTAATACAGGCTCGATACTTAACAGTTTCGATAATAGGAGTTAACATTTATTAGTTCCAATAATAGAAGCTGACGTTCGGAAAACTGAAGTCGAGCACATCGAGCTTTTATTGTTCGAATGATTCGGGTAGTAAAAGCTTAGCGAGCTATGAATTCATATATTTAGAATTGAGAACAAACTTGTAAATGGAATGCGGATGAACAAAGTTCTACTGTATTTGTAAACTGTATTTATTAGTAAAATCTATTTTTACGTATTTATAGATGTATACATATTTAAACTTGCAATACTTATAATAATTATAAATATGCTTTTCGAAAAAATAATATTTGAAACCTTTAATCTGAAAAAAAAAAGTTATTAAGCGAGCTGTTAGTAAAACGACGCGAACGGAGAAATGCTATCAATTTTATTGCATACGTTATCGCAAAAAAATATTCTCTTATTGTTAATTTTACAGGAAGATGCCGACTACTTTGGAATACTTTAGCTACATCTTTCACTTTCAAGCTTTAATGGCTGGCCCAGTGATATTCTATCGTGATTACATCGATTTTATACATGGACATCACTTGCCTGGTGCTAAATCTTTAGCCGTAAGGACATTGATTGTGCACATAAAATCTTACAATCCTCTTTTAGAATTTATATCATTTATCTTAAAATAGAAATTGATTAAGACATTATTTTGTAACGTAACATTGTAAATCACAGAGTTGTTAGTTTCAAAATTTAGCGAATTTTATTATTTAATATTTATATAATATAA